ATGAGAACTGGTGCATTTCCTCTCTCATTTCCAATGTCCCAAAGCTGCCCCCACTCCCTGGTCTGGGACTGTGGCTTCCCGGCTGTGATATCCCTGACATAACGCTTCCTGCTGTGAGCACATCACCCACGATGAGCTGGCAGTCCCTGGGGTTTTTGCTCACCCCTTTGTGGGCCCTGTGCCCTCCGTCTTTCTGCTCCACCATCACTTAGGCTGGTGATAGCGGGCAGGGGTGTCACTTAGGCTGGTGATAGCAGGCGAGGGCGGGATATTCCCTCACCTCGATTGCCTACACGCCCGTCCCCCACCTTCCCCTGGCAGCCACGTTCCTGGGCCACGATGTGCTGCAGCTGATGTTCTCGGCTCACAGCAGGGCCTGGAACCAGAGCACACACAGGCGTCTGGGGTCAGCGTTGAGGTGGCTTGGCAGGACTGTGTGGGAAGAAGGCTGTGGAGTATCGGTTTCCAGTGCTTGGCTGGGGCTGCCTCCCATTCACTCCTGTCTCTCTAGAGAGAGGACGTGGTCTCGGGAAGCCACATGCAATCTTTGGATAACAACGAGATGTAAACAGTGAGGATAATCTCAACAGGAGTGCGAAGCCTCTGGTTCCTGCTGAGGGCCCTGAGCAGCGGCTGGTCACTGGAGAGAGATGGCTGGGCAAGCACCTCCCCTCTCCACCGGCCCGCACGCCCTCAATCCCATTGGAAGGGAGGGGCTGCAGGCCTGTCCGGATGGGTTGGGAGCCCTCAGGAGTCACTGAGGCTACTCTTATGGGCAGTGTGGGGTTGGCGGAAGGAGACCTGGTTTCCATTCCCGGCTCTGCTGCTCACTAGTGTTTCCATGCAGGAGCAACTCAGCCTTTTGAGCTCGAGGTCTCCATTTGTTACTTGCACAAGCTGTTAGGTGACCTTGAAGGTCCAGCGTCCTTTGACCAAATCAGTTCACTCTGCAGTTCCAGCAGCTGCCTCTGCTGTGAGCCCTCAGCAGGGGTACCATGGAAGCTGAGTCTTGGCAAGTAAAGATACCAAAGAGTTTTACATTTGAAGTCTTTTTCCCCCAAAGTATCCCTGATTCTTCTTCATGTTATAGCACCCTATAAGGGTGTAACACCTTCATGTTACAACATGCCTGTAAGGCAGATGGTTTCCAGGTCTATGCAATCCCATTCAGTTTAGGTTGGGTTTGAAAGCCCCAGAATAAGACAGTGCCTGCCATGGGCCCCTAGGAAAGGTGAATGATGTTCAAATGTTGTGGGGAGCCAGGCTACCGATAGGGAGACCCCTGTGTCAAGTCTCCACACTCTTCCTGCCTCCTCCTTTATGTTGTATGAGTCTATGTTCACCTCCAGTTCTAGATTCCTGGATTAGTGAACAGCATGGCAGAAAAGGACCACGATAACTATGTGTTAGCCCCACACAATTGCATTCCAGCTTTCGTTTTCGTTGAGAACACGCTCTGCTTGAATCAGGAATGGAGGAGACGCGTGCTTTGCTGAAGGAAACTAATATCCCCACAATGGGAAATGATTTTGCATGACTTACACTGAGGCTGGGCTCGCTTCACCAGGTTAGGGAAACCTAAGTTATGTTAGAAGCAGCAGTGAGCCTTGCATACTCTTAGTTTTGGCTGTTGATACCAGAGATGAGCTTAGAAATTGGGGAGAATTCACACTGAAGTCCTTTTCCTGCATTTTGTCAGAACTGTGTCTAGTGTTTCATCTTAGGACGATCTCCTAGATTTCTGTCCATCTTTTGATTCAATTTAGTCTAAAAGGGGTGTCTTGGTGGTCTGTTGCAGTCCGCAGAGGTGGCTTTTATTTTATTATTTGTTTACTTTTAATTCTTAAAAGAAATGTTGTATTGATGTCCCATTAGTTGACATTGCTGTTAGTGTTTTGGAAGTACATGATCTCCCCTCCTTTAGATGTAGTCACCGTAGTGCGCCCGACACCCAAGCACCCAAAGTCCCCCATGTCAGGTTTGTCTGTCTCTGATGAGAAAAGAAATTCATCAGGTACACATAATCTGCCTGGATTTGGATACTTTTACATCAAGCTAACCATGTAACCTTGGACAAATTATTTAAATTTTCCCTGCCTTGATCCCCTCAACTGTAAAGCAGAGATAGTGATAATGCCTGCTTGACAGCATGGTTGTGAATATTCTATGAGCTAAACCACAAAACAAGCTCTGTCCCCGCACATGACACATATTCAACAAATATGCATCCTGGCTATTAGGATTTCCAGGATTTGATGAGTGTTGCTAACCACAGGTATATGTTCTGAGAACTGTGCTGCTAGTGATATTTTTGCTGTGCAAATGTCATGGGGTGTTGTAATGGCAGGAGCACACGGAGCAGGATCTCTATGATCCAAGCAGACGGGGTAAGAAGAAGTCCTGGAGCCCTCAGTGGCTTTTGCAGGATTTTGTTGGGATTTACCAGGTACACAGCAGGCAAGGGTGGTGGGGGGCCGGGAGGCTGGTAGGCCTCCCAGCCCCCAGAAAGTCTTCACTCTTTCTGGGCTCTCCGGCGTTCCCTCATGGCCTTTTCTTCTCTGCTCCTTTTGCTCTTTTGTTCTCTTCTGCTCTCTGCTCTACTGGTGTCCCTGTGACGCTGTCCTTAGAAGCCCAGTCTCAGCCCAGGTGTACCCACTTTCGCATGCCCACACCCTACTCCAGGAGCCCGCCATCAGGCATGCATTCGGGACCATAGGGATCCATCATCAATCCTAATGGCGGGAGGGCAGAAAAGACTGATACTTTTTACCTTACCCTACAAGTGTAGTTACACCAACTTAGATGGCACCGTGGGTATCACCCAATGGTATTGCCTAATGAGTCCACGGTCTATATACAACCTGTCAGTGACCGAAGTGTCAAAACTGACACATGATTGTATTTGTAAACAGCGGACAACCTAGGACTTTCATACCAGAGTTCAGTCTTCTTGTGAAGTCTTGGTTTAGTTTTTATTCCTCCCTCTTATAAATCATAAGCCCATATAAATCCCTAAGCTGGTGGTATGTTCTCAATGTTTAAATTACTGAATATACTGTGGAGCTGCCATTCAAAATCAGAGAAATAGTCTTCACCTGCACGATGAGCATCATAAAATAGCTTTTTCTCTTACTTATCATTTCAAAAGCATCTGTGAGTGTCCTCACAGTCGGTACACCCAGAGGTAGTAGGCAAACTGTTTTCACTGTTAATCTTCAATACTAAACCAAGATCTGAGAGCCTATGCTTTTTATTAAATTTTTTTTTACTGTAGTAACATTGATTTATAACATTTTACAGGTTTCAAGTAGACAGCCGTTTAAATCAGCTGCTGTATATACCACATTAAAAAAATCTAGTGTTTTTTTGGGTCTTGGAATGCTCAAAAATTTCATGTAAATTAATGGTAATTGCTTCCTTGCTTTATATCACTTCGGTTTAAGAAAGGTTTCACTAGGAATGCTGCTTTCAGAGAGCGGGGGATCTTGTGATTTAATATAAAGCTCCTTTCTCCTCAACATGGGTCCAGAAAGGGTCAAAGGAATAGGAAGCTGTGAGCATTTCTCTCCACAGAGCACACCCAGTAGGGTCCAGCTTCCACTCTGTCCCTCAGTGACCTTGTCCAAATGTAAATGGCACGTTGGCCAGCACTCCATGTCTGCCCACGACAGTGCTGGGTTTTATGTGCCTTCCCACAGCCATTTGATGAAGGCATTTTTCAGTTGGCTTTTCTGCTTTCTCTGTGACAGTGTTAGTGGTTAATTTTGCAGGTAGTTTTTGGAGCTTCTTGCTGATAATGAAACTTTTGCCCATTTTTTTTCCCACTTGGTTTTGGTTTCCTTTCATTCTTTCATTCTTTTTTTTTTTTTTAAGATTTATTTTATTTTTATGCATACAAGAGCTGGGGTACAGGCCAGAGGTGTGGGGGTGGTGAGAGGATTCACCAGAGACAGAGTGGAGAACAGAACAGGCAGATTGACTAAAATACACTGGTGAGGGGAGCAGCAGGCAAGTCAGGAGAGGTCTCCTATGCCATGTGGGTGGCTCCCTGGCCGGGGATCGAACTCGTGCTGCAGTGGCTGCGGTTAGCTTCATAGGTTGCCTCTTAACCCCTTGCGCCACCAGGGAGGCCCTCCTTTCATTCTTTAGTGACAATGGTAATTAAGTTAATGTCAGAAAATATCTTTTTCTGGGCATGCTCATTCTGAAAAAAATTGAGGTTTTATTGAAGGTGATGAGAAACTGATGGCTTCCTGTCATAATCTGACCACTTTTTATAACAGACACTGCAACCAGGGTGAAATGGATTGGTGAGTCAATCAGACCCAATCTTCAAATACTCTCCAGTGAGTTTCCTTTCCTGCCCCTCATTGTTGGGGAAAATGAATGTACTCACAGAATGTCTGTGTCCTAGACATAGATTCGTGCTGTATATTCACACTGGTATCCTGTTCATGATTTATGTTTATGATGTTATTTTGAGTTGCATTGTTTGCATTAATATTTATACTATTTCTTAAAGGCTTAGGTTAACCACTTTTGTGATTTGGGGCTACACAGTAAAACAGTAGAACAAAAATACAAAGTTAACAATAAACAATGAAAATACGTGGATGGAGATATGTCGAAGGCTGTTTGCTGAATGCGTGTGGAAATAATGAACTAACTGCTATTAGGTGTGTGATGGGATTTCTGTCAAAATAATAATTGCTTACATTTCAAATTTGTGAATACATTTGCTTTAACTCTTCTTTATCTCTGAAGCCACCAAACCTACAGGGACCACACTGTTGGGACCATCACCTTAAGGTTTTTGATGAGTATATTTCTGGAACAGAACTGGTGAATGGGGTATGGGTGAGAGGAAAGTTTAAAGAGAACAAAAATCAGAAACTGAAGGAACAATAGGTCTTGGCTTCTAGTCTAGAAAGTTGGGAGGTCAGGAATTTAAACGATGTCTTAAAAAGTGTTACCATTTCTTTTTCCTTTGTGCCTTACAGAGTAAAAGCCAAGGATCCGTCTTTGTCCGGATACATGCCCCATGGCAGGTGCTGGCCAGAGAGGCAGAATTCTTGAAGATTAAAGTTCCCACCAAGAAAGTATGAACATGTTTCTTTTGGGTTTGGGGGCCTCCCCAGGGAGGGATGTAGGCAAAGAGTCTGGGAACAGGGTCCGGTGGGATGTGGTTTTGTGGAGTTAAAGTCATGCTTGCCTCCTCCAGAACCATAAGTTTGGGGCAGTGATGTGGATGAGTCCGAGAAGAAAGCTGGGTAGGGCTTGGAAGATACTTTCAACTTACCTGGGATGAGCTCCTTAAGAAGCCAAACTTCGCCCTGGTCCAGTTTCTTTATTTCTCTGTTATGCTTCCTTTCTTTCAATTCTTGGGGTCCCAGCCCCTCTTTAGAGGAAATGTTGCAGTGAGAGCAGGCTGGGTGGGCAGCAGGCAGTGAGAATAGCACCAAACTCACTGTGAAGATACCTGCGTACCACTAAGTATTATGTGGAGCTGGTTTTTACTTGTTTCCTCTGCCAACTAGAATGTTCTTATCAGATGAGTTGATGAAAATCATTTGGGATTTTTCCTAAGTGTTCCTAAGTCCACCTCTGGGGTTTTGATTCCCTTGGTTGTACGGAATGATGTACTAACATCAGTAATGGGGGAAAAAAATCCCCAGGAGGTTTTGATGCACATCTAGGTTGAGAACCACATGGTTTAATGATTTTTTAAAGGGTTCTTTTCAGTCAATATAGTGTATGTATAATTTTAAAATCCCCCTGAAAAATTCCTAGGGGAAGACTCCCTGTATAACGAAATTAGCAATCACTTCTGAAGGGAAGGACATGTGTCCACAGAGTTGTTGTACATTTTCTTAGTAGGCATTTTAGGATAAAGGAGTGGTTATTGACTGTGGCTATTTGAGATGTCTGGGGAAGGTCCTGGGGCAGATGATACTGTAGTTTAAACCGGGTGACCTATGGATGGTCTTTTTCTGTGTTGTCTCCTTGTATGTGCACACATACAAGAGTCATTTCACAAGCTGTTTCATAAGTGATGACCTGGCTACGTGGAGATCATTTTCATCATTCCAACTGCCATCCCCACAATTCCCAGTTTCTCCACCACAAATGGACTCACTGTTACTGTCTTCTGCGTCACCACTGTCATCACCAACCTTCTCCTCACTATCTCCACCCTCAGCAGTAGCGTTATGGTCATCAGTACCATTTTGAGTAGCATCATTGGCTCTGCTAACACCATCTTCACTCCCAACAGACCCACTCTCCCCATGGAAAATCACTCATTTCACACCATCAACTTTTATGCCATCAGGAATGCCACTCTCAAGATGATAAAACCCATGGTTTCTGTTTTTAGAGATTTGTTTAGACAGAAAGACGATGAAACTATGACAAACACATACGTGAACATTAGCTACAAACATTTTGCCAATGAAAGGTCAATGTTTCGGGGTCACGTGCCTGAGTGTCATGGTTTCATGAGGAATACACACTGATCTTTTCCCCTTCAACTGAACAGGGGCTCTAGGTCTTCTGGTGCTAGACTGCTCACTCCAGCTCCCCTGGCCTCAAAGGCAGGCATCAGTTTTGTTTCTGACCTCTACTCCTCCTCCACGGCTGTTCTCCTGTCTGCTGGCAGCAGGACCCAAGTTCTTATCCTTGGAGGGAGGCTTTAGCTTCTTCTGGTGATGGCCTAACCTGGCCTACTCTTTCCCTTTCTTTTGTATTACTCCTAATCCCCCCTGCCCCGTCTCTCTCTGTCTCATTCTCTCATTGCTTCTCATGCCCCTCCTCTCACATCCATCCATCCACCTACCCATCCATCTTTTTCCTTTCTTTGTTTTATCTGAATTATCTCATATCTCTTAATCTCATTCTATTTGTATCTTATTTCCTATTTTTTAAAAATCTTTGCTGGCTAATCCTTGGAAAGAAGGTGAGCAAAACTCTCATGTCCATGTTGTTGTGTCTAGCCCGCTCCGCCCCCCACCCCGAAGATCCTTTTAGCAGGAAACCTAGAGACATAGAAATTTGTGTCCTATTCCCCCCTTTTTGTCTCCTTTTTTCTTCACACTTCTTACAGCCTTTCCACTCCATGCTCTTCCATTCCTTCTTCCCTCTCCCTTGTACCTCCCTCTCCTGATGCTGTCTCCCAACCTCCTCTGTTCTTTACCACCATCTTCTCTACCTCTTGTTTATTCTCTCTGTACCTCTTTGCTATATTCTCCTTGTTCCCATGCTCAGCCCCCAAGTACAGCCTGCCTCTGGGCCCTCTTGTCTCATCTGTGCCCTTTTATAAGCTCAAATCTTTGAGAACATAGTTCTGCTTAAATGACAATCTGCTCTCTGAGTCCAAGTGGCCCTCCCCTCCCCCATGTAGCCTTTTGGAACTTAGCATCTGTAGTCTAGGTAGTAACTGCCATTGAATTTGTAGGTGGTGTAGATGAGAGGATGAGGGCATGGACATATTATAACAGCCATCTCTGAGTTTCCCTCCTCCCTTTTCATTTAGTGACACAGGATGATAGACACCACACTCAGAAGAATAGACTCTGCACTCCTTAGCTGTGTGATTTGGGGGATGTCTCTTCATACCTCCATAGGAGGAGAGTGAAGAAAAAAAGGAGACAAGGGTGGGGGGAGTAGAGACATCCCCCATTCAGAGCCTTGAATTCTTTATCTATGATGTAGATATAATAATATCTGCTTATTTCTTAGGAGTTTATTTAAAGAGTTTGATTCTTAACCAGTGCTATGGAAATACAGGAGTGTATTTTTGTGTCTGGGTACTCAAATATTTTATGTGTATTCTCAATTCCTACTCCCATCACCTTCCTTCCTTACTGAATAGGCAGCTAACCCTGATGGAGCTCCTACTATAAGGGAGTGTTTGGTGAGACTCTGAAGGGTATAGAAACAATGCATGACCTCAGAGAGCGTAACTGTCAAAGGGTAGAGCAGCAAGACCACACACCCAGACATCAAAGCACTCATTAAATACTGTGTCAAATAGCAACTCATTAGCACAGCACAGATTCTGTCTATAAAAATGGCAGACCAGGGAGTCTGGGGAGAGCCAAGCCAGCTGGTTTCTCCTACAAGGCTGCAGATCAAACGGAAAGAAATTTCCCCCATAGTTTCCGGGTCCCAGGCTCAGCCCAGGTGGACTGTTCTGACTTCCTGCTGCAGGATCAGCCACATGGCCTCATCATCTTTGTACTCGTAGAATGCAGTGACTTATAGCTGAACTCACAGGACGTGTCATAGCCAAGAGAGGGGGAGAAAACTTGGTGTACTGGGTAGAATGCATCTTTTTGTTAAGATTGAGCTGAGAACCTGATGCCAGGGTTGGAGCTTAAACCCAGTCTCCGAGAAGGAGGCATGGGAGGGAAGGAGAGACAGGACAGTTGTGAGGGCTAGTGTTGGGTCCACTGCCATTTGCCCCCCTTTAATGGGCTTGGGAGATGACCAGATCGAGAGGAAGCCACATCTGCACAAAACATATCCCAGTGGCAGAGGGAACATGGAGGAAGACTGAGGAATGGTGTGAGATCAGCTTAGCATCCTCCAGGCCAGTGGAGGTTTGTATCATAACTCAGCAGGGTCCGGAGAGACCAGGAAGATGGGAAGGCAATCATGAAATTGAGATCTCTGGACAAATCCATAGTAATGCGTCCAGGGACTCAGAGTCCCGAGCACAGATATTAACTGGGAGGGAATCTTGGAAGGAAGCATTTGTTTTCCAAAAACAACAACAGAAGAGCCAGCATTCACTGTCCATGCACAAGAAGGGGGTCGGAAGGCAGCGCTTGGCTCCGAGCAGACTGGGAAGGTTTGGAGTGGGTGCTTTCTCACTTCTGCTCATGACCAAGGTGATGCTTCTAGATTGTGGTCAACATCTATGATTACTTCTCTTTCACTTTTTTATATAGGTGGATGACTAATCCCCTTCTCACCCCTGACATTTGCTTATTCTCTGCTGCCTCCTGCAGAGACCAGGCTGGGAATGGACAAGGGGGAGATAACTGAGTCAATAAAATCATGTTAATCCAGCAATAATCCACAACATTTGGAGGAAGTGACAGGCCTGGGATGGATAAAAAAATCACTTTTGTCCAATGTGTCAAAGGTTTTATAGCCATTATTAAGAGAGTGACTGATTCTGTAGGGTCAGGCTGGCTGTTCCTAGGAGCCCATAAAGACGTTAACTTTGCATGCATGTAACTTCTAGCAAGTCATATTGTCTTAGGAGAGCAGCCTCAGAGCTCTTCTCATCTCTAAAATGGGAGTAATGTACTCAGGACACTAGCCCGGGATGCCACACAACACCTAACTGCTATTATTACTGTTGTTGATATTGTTGTTCATATATGATGAGTATAGGGCAGTACACACAGATCAGGGTGCTCCTTCCTGCTATTTCCATTCATGATCAGCATCTGCAGTGTTGGAGGGAGCTGGGACCCCATTCTTTAAATCTGCCAAGGCAGCTAGAAGCCCAGACCTGGATTTGGTGGAGAGGCAGGAACAGATGGCTTTTGGACTATGTGCTGGGGGATTTCTGTTTCCTACCACACAGGTCCTTGGGGCATCCATAAACATAATGGCTTCATGTGCGAGATCCGTGGTGTAGTTATGGGGAAAGGCAGCAGGAAGACTGCTCAGGACTGCTATGCAGGAGGGAGAGCTTGAAGGTGTCCATTTCAGGGGCTATATGGTAGGTGTGACAAATGCAGGCCTTGGGTCCTACTACTGATTCTGATAACCTGGGGCAACTAGGGCCATATCTTGGCCTATTTCTCAAAACAGGATTTATGATAGATTACACACAAAAATGTAAAACAATAGGTCATTTTTAAAAAGGACCAAAAATAGCCACCCCAAAACAATGAATCATGTAATTAAAGGAAAGTAGGACAGTTCAGGGGGAAATAATGAGAGTAGAAATTTAAAAAAAAAAGAGTGATTGAGGCAGATAAGACAAATTTACTTCTGAGCACCCTGGTAGACAAGGCAAAAAAAAAAAAAAAATAGAAATGAGTATGTGTTTGTCAGAGGAAACAAATTTTTCCCGTTGTTA